GCTGAACGTCAACTCTTCTGAAGTTCCACAAGAGTTGATCTGTTTGTATATGATGATGCTGCGGAATATACGTTGCTCGACAGTCGGTCTGTTCGCCAAGCTGGGCGATCGGATTGCAAACGTTCCGTCTTTGATCACGTGGACATCATCACTTTGGAACTGAGTGCCTGTCGCTCTCTTTTTTTAGCTCACATGCCTAAACATGATGAGTACCGCTCGTCCAAATTCTGACAGCGGTCACAAGTCATATCCCAGTGTTTGCCTCACATTTGAGGTAGCTGAATAAAAAACGTTCGATTTTCGTTCTCATGTTTGTATTAGAGGTAGTCGGTTAAATGTACTGCGAAAAATTCCTTGAGGTGACGGTATGAATTGCGCTATGGGAAGCATTACTTCGATGGTCACTAGCTATAGTCTGGCTGCCCTCCGACTAATCCGGATTCGGGCAGTCTATTCTAGCCGCCGTTTCTTGCCACGTCTCCAGCCAAGCACAGACGGGGTCACGGCAACTTCATTCTGGAAGGCGTACAACACCAACAAAACCCAAACTCTTCGTGCTCTCTTGCATGCCTTTCTGCCAAGTCATGCGCTGTCCACCTCGCGGTTCGCACCAGCCTGAAGGAGGCACGGAGAACAATACTCGTCTTGGTAGACGGTGTTTCGGCATGCGTAGAACATGACCGAACCATCGTAGTCGATGATGCTGAATGTTTTCTCGGATTGAGGTACCTGCCGCACAACCAGATACCTGTTTTCTAATCACATCGTTACTAACACGCTGACGCCATCCAAAACCAGCCACGGATCTGAGGCGTCAGTGGTCGTCACGAATAGACTGGATCGTTCCGTGATGTGGCGGTTTGTGTGCCTGGCGACTCATTGAACTGTACTGGGGGAGGTCTGCGCGACACTCCCAGAGTCTCATACCAGGTTGGTTCATGGATAGATGTCTGACGAACACAGTCTCCTGGCCCTCCAGGTTGGGGGTTGAAACATGTGTGGTGACGTGTTCCGTAAAAATGGTAATGTGCTTGCATTTCCAGCCGAACACCGCTGCCTTGGGGTTAGGCTTTCGAGTCAAAAGATCTTCGGTTGAGGACCCTAATCGTCCTCCTGTCTAGGTGTGGGCGCTCTAGCAGTATCCCACCCCTCGTACAACCATGACATTCACAACTATACAAATCAAGTAGCGACAAAGCATAGTTCGGAGTGTAGCACGTTACAAATGAAGGTACTGTTCATTACCCATTGTTATTTCTTCTCATGGCTTATAGAGGGTGAGGTGGTTGGAATACAGAGTTTGATACGTACCTGAGGAATTCGGACTTCCGTGTTTCACTAAGCATTCAGGAGGAGTAAAAAATGTGTTGTTTTAATAATGTGTGTGTGGCGACCATGAGTGTCACGATACGCCATGACGTGCGACAGCATCAATAAGCGCCTAGGGCTGCAGCGCAAATTCTAGCATAGAGTTTAGCGTTTGCGGCAGATATTCCTGGTTTGTGGTACAACGGCTATTCGTTAATGAGAGTCTTCGGGTAGACGGGATATTTCTTTCGATCGCAAGAATGTTTTACTAAGGTTTATTAAAACAGTGTCTAGTGTGGATTGTTCTGGCCACTCATGTTGGTAAACAGCCTGAGTAATCGAGGACAAACTCAGGGTCCAGGAAGAGAGAACAAGGGAATATGATCTGGTCTCCCCCAGTTACGAACAACGAATGAAAAAATTGTCAGAGTTCAACCTTTGACTGACCAAATGAAGTCTAAGGGCTGAATTCCTGAAACTGATCTCCCTTCACTTTCATAGGCAACTCATTAACTAGGTTTTTTTTTAAATATAAATTTCGCGTGTGTCTGGAGAGGGGAGTTCCGGCCTTGTATCAACATCGATGTTCTGACAACAAACGTGCAAACGATTACTGACTGCACACATGCTGCTTCACTCGCTGGTATCATGGGTAACGGAGTGAAGAGACATTCTTATCCAGAATGACAGTATACAAGCCGAAGTTCAGTGACCTTGACCGTTAGTACAGGTGATCTCGAACAATGGACTTTACCCGAATAGATCACCCGAGTTCGTTCGTAGAATTTTACTGCCAGATCAAGCTTTCCGGAAATGGTCCAGCGAAAAAGTGCTCTTTAAGAGAACAAATAAAAAGTGGTTTTGTAGTCTGACGATTATGTCAGCTGTCTATTCGCAATCAGCCGTCAGTCTGACGTGATCTGCCGATGATCCATGTAGTTTGAAACCATTTGCACATTTGACATGGTGTAGCAAATCCGTCTTGAATTCCGTTTTTTTTCTGGTCACACCATAGGTGACCCATTCGCTCCAATGGAGTGAGAAACAGGATGTTGTCTCTCTGTGCGTGTAGATTTATCGGCAAGTTCAACAGGAAATCAGGAAAACTGAACTAAGACAGTCTAGGCTAATTCGCCTGGAATGCACACATGAGAAAACATTTGTAGTATGTAAACATGCATTACATAGATTGACATTTTCGCGCATAAACAAACACCTATCTGCGTCAGAAATGCTTAGATTGCCGGAATTTCACCGATTTCCAAAGGTCACCGCACCAAAGTATTTGGCTTAGAATAGAATACGTAAATCAACCGATTGCTTTTGGTCTGAACCAGGTACGCGGCTAGTTGTGATCATTGGTACCCTGGTTATGATCTAGTCTTCAAACTACACAGCCTGTTCCTCGGAAAACGGTTATCATTTCTGCAAAATCACGATCAGCTGTCAGCTTACGAAGAGTACGACTCAATTTGCTGAGGTTTGTGTTAAGTAGAATATCACGTTTTGCACTGAATTTGGAGTTCGCATATGATTGTTTAGGGGAACTTCATCACGAACGCTCTAGTTGAATACGCTGCCGCCACTGAGCAAGGAACTGTGCTAGAGTTATCGGAAAAAGCAACAGTTTCGCACAATATTCTGATCTAATGTGTGAAGCCAGCTGTTCAACCGACTAGGGTCTACCTGAAAGGCTGAGCCTGTTTGCTTTTGAATACCTAGAAGTCCCTGAATTCTCCAGGAGGAACCATAAGTCAACTGATTATACATGGTGGGAATCGACTGTCATTACGTCCAGCACTCAGTCATCTTAATCATACTGTCTGTTGGTAATCCGTGTGGTAAAGCAGTTGAGAGTATAACCACAATGACTCTCTGGCCTTACTTCTTTATGGCCATTTGTTCCATGCTGCGATATTTGAGGACGTCATAACTCAACTGCTCTTCCACTCTCAGAGCTCACCCTATCTTTTCCCTGTTCTGTGTGCCACTTCATTTAATGTGATATGTATTCCTGTTCGACAGTGTGGTCTTACCATGTGTCAACCACTTCCGCCAGGCTCGACACCTTTGAATATTACGCAGCCGTCAGACAGACCAACGACTCCAGGCCTACATTATCCGTCTTCTTGCACGTTCCCGGTATGGTCGGCTTAATTGGTCCACAGTTCGGAAGAGCACACACCGTCATTCATAATTCGCAGCTAGACACAATGGACTCCACCGACAAAAATGTTTTGAAAAAGTTTATCAATGTATCGTACCAAACACGATATTCACACATTCGTTTGAGGTGAACTATCATGAACAAGAGATTCAGCTGGATCCATTCGCGACTCCAGTCAAAATCAGATTGATGTGAACCTCGTACAATCTGAGTTCAAGCGAATCATAAGGTTGGCGAATATTCAAGGACTGCGCTCATCTGATGAGCCTCAGGAAGGGTGAAAGTGATTGTGGATTGCTGAAAGATTTTCAGCGATTAGTTTGTTACGTCTAGTCACCAGGAATGCAGCTTGAATTTTAAAGATTGCATTTTGCATTATGAGGACAACAGTTTAAGCTATATGTTATTTACCCACTATTCACCTGCTACACAGAATTCCATCACAGGATATTAGAACTTAGTCTGGACACTCCAATTTTCTGTTCTAAACATCCGGACTTGTCCAATGTTTCTTCATTTGCAGTGCTTTATGAATGATGTCTGCCGTAGTTATTCACCCCCGACAGAGCACCTGAGTTGAGAAGATGTTTCTTCTGAAAAGGTCTCATCCAAGAACCATTCAAATCCAGCGCTAATCTGGGAATGCACGTGGTCACACAGTCGTTCATCGTAAACTGCTCTAAAATCGACCAATAAAATGATCTTGTCAAGGTTTCGTTCGGGTTTGACGATTTATTATGGCCAAAGTTTACGTCAGCTCAAATTTATTACCCGAGAATAGCAAAATATTCCATCTGTGCCTAACCCTCTTGACCGTATGTGTAACTGAAAACGCCAATGTTGCGAAAAAATCAATAACTCGTGCGCGCTGTTCTCGACCAATCCGAGTTCGCATTGTGGGACACCAAATGGGGGAGGGTGCGATGGGATGGAAACGAAACTATAATTATCAAACATTTCACTTGAAATCAGATTCTGAAGGGAGTGAGCCAGATGAATGTGCTTGAGAGTCAGGAGATCGGTGATTACTACTCAGCACAGACATAAGTGAGGCATAAAAAAGAGATAGAAAAATATTTTTGAGATGGCAAGTCCAACAAACACACCTAAGTTTTTCGTGTGAGTGTGTGTACACAGTATGCAGTACGTACTAGGGGAGCGGACGGTCTTTCATCCTCATAGTCTATCAATTGAACGGAAGTTGTGAAGACAGTAGGGTCCTCGGTCTATTCTATAAAAATTACATTTAGATACAACAATCCAACTGACGTGAGGGTTGGGATAGACCCGGAACTTGTTGATTGTCCGGCTTGTGTATCACACACCCAGAGGCAACATGTTCTTTTCGTGGGGGATATCGTCACCAGTGTGCTGCTACAACCATGGGTGAGAGTGGGGAATCCCCTCACTTGCCTTGATCGTTGGTTGCTCAAAGTGGATGGGGATCAAGAATCGGTAGCAATGGGGATAAATTGACACGGACAATTTGGGGGAATAAAAAGCAATTAATTTGTGAAAGACAATCAATCATCTGTAACGACATGCTCTAGAATGTCAGTAGACTGGATAAACACGTTCCAGAAATGAGTGGGTAGGGGATAAAAGTGAAGGATGGATGGGGACTAAATTACAGACAAGAGCAACAAACCCTTATTCTCGAATCAAGCGCGCCATTTGATAGTGGTTGAGAATTTTCAAGTCAGCATCAACATACAAGTCAAAATGTATAGAACAGTGTGAATGGGATGACTGAGTTCTCTACTTTGTCGCGCTCCAGTGCATTGGCTAAATCATAGCGAATGGTGTAAAATCCGTAAAAATATGGTTAGTAATTTACTATAAGAAAAAACGTTCCGGCTATAGAAACAAGTTGCGCGCTCGTCTGAGCTTACAGCTGGGACTTGTTCGTGAAAAACAAGCATTCCAAATACTCGCATAACAGTAGGGAAAGTGTTGGAAGAGCATTTGAGCTTAATGTAGCTCTTCAGTGCTGTGGTAGTTCACAGAGAGTGTGTGTGACTGTGTCCCTACAGGTCTCTCAGGCAGCGGTGGCAAGGTCGTCGACTTGGTGACTTGCACAGGTGGTGGATGAGGGGACGATTCCGGTTTCTTTCTCCGTCTAGTTTGAGCAACCATGACTTGTGTCGCGGTCAAGTCTTGTTGTAATAGATAGGGTGCAGTTAGTGGGATCAGGATGGCTCCAAGAGGGGCTGAGATGAGAATTGCAATCGCGGCCAAAGTGAGCACCTGGGGTGGGCAAAACAGAGGGTAGATGGTTCGTCAGTGAAGGTTATTAGACAGGTGTACGTATATACGAACATGACACGGTACTACGTTTGACGTAGATCATCCACAAAACTCCTAACTGGGTGAGAACTCCCCATGAGACTACAACTTCTCTTTTGTCCTCCCCCCATAGCCAGGAAAGAGGTGCGGCGCAAAATTCAGGAGCTCAGTGGATGCTCTCTGGTAGCCGTTGGGCAAGCAGCAACAGTTGCCAGTTGCTTTTTAGCTTTTATTCAAATTGCGCGCATGCACACTGCTCGTGCGCTCTCCTAGAGTGCCAAAAACAGTGACTGCATCTATCAGTCAGTGATCAGTAACAAAAAAACAAGCGAAACGTATTACTCGTAATGCACTACTCATAAGGTTGCTGAAAATGCTTCAACAGACCACGACCGGTTTCCTCTTCTTAGGGCTCATCAGGTAGGCGCAGTCCCCGAGTTTCCGTCCACCGTATGTTCTACTTGAAACCGAATTGCATAAAATTAGCGAACTACACTCATTTGCAAACTAATTTGGTTTTGCGAGAGACTCATCTGGAACCCAGTTGAATCTCTCGTTTGTGATATTTCCAGGTTTCAAGTAGAACTTGGAAACTCGGGGACTGCGTCTACCTGATGAGCCCCAAAAAGGGCGAAGCCGGTCGTAGGCTGTCGACGAATTTTCAGCACCTTTACGAATATACATGTACCGCCATATCTCGAATATCGTAGCGACTGAAACATGAGGCGGCCTGGTGCGGCACATTCAGTTGCCTGGAAACATCACAAACGAGAGAGTCAGCTAGGTTCCAGGTGAGTCTCTTGAAAAACCAAATTAGTTTGTAAATGAATGTATTCCTCAAAATATGTCACGTTCACTTCCTGAATGTGTTCCAGTATGAACAAATTAGAAAGCAGCGGCTGTAGGATATACCGAACGGTCGTTTCTTGGGAGTGTATACGGTGTCGTCCAATGTCACCGTATGCTTGTTACCACTAGCTGTTGGTCTGCAGTTTCGAACGGTGTCCAGCAACGTTATCCACCACAGAGACGTGGTGTGGCTCGGACGATGTCTTCGATGTCTGCATAGGATATGCGCACGCACGTCTTCATGGCATAGCTGGACCAAAACGCGTCATCATGCATGGGAAAAAATGCACATAAGTGTCACACATTGTTGTTTCCTGTAATTGTAACTAGACGTCACGACTCCCAATTGGGGACAGTCTACAATAAATGTCACTTTGAAAGACTGTTCAATCTCTCATTGACGCGCAACTACTCATGAGGTGCGTTGGATACTCTTTTACCTGTATATCGCTGGCTATCATTTGATCCCATGAGCAAATCGTAAAGATTTTTGGCTTAGGCGGCTATGCAAGTCGTCTTTTATGTTGACCGATGAGTAGTAAAATGGCAAACACCAAAGACAGCAATTACGTTGGAGTGCCGAAACTGCGCAGATGAGGAATATTCATACCCCAACATATGCAGTGTCCCAGCAGCCTTCCTCACTGGTTGTTGGTCTGTTCGCCGAGCTTCACAGCTGAATTGCAAACGTTTCATCACCAGTCGAGGTGACATGGTCACTGCGGAGTTGACGACGGGTTGAGGCCGCCCTGAGGATGTCGGCTCCATTGGTGATGAAACGTTTGCAATCCAACTGCGAAGGTCGGCGAACAGTCTAACAACCAAGCAGCGTCCCCGAGCTACCTATACTCCACAACATTGGTCTCTACCTTAGACAACAACCTTACTAGCAGTTTAGGATACAATCGTATGAATTAGGATAGCCCTGATGTACGAAAACGAAACACCACCAACAAATACCAACAGTTTGCTCGTACGGTCTAGTGAATTACACGAATTCCGAAATTTTCGTTCCAAATCAAGTAACCATGCATTATATTTGCTAGAAGTGCTTCCAGAAATGACCGGATTAGGTCTGTAGGTCAATTTTTCGTGAAACGACAGCAAGTTGGTAAACGGCGATTCCGTGAAGAGGAGGAGAATCAGGTGTGGATAGAATGTGCAACCTTCTGTTTGACTAGATTTGACGGAAAGCCAAATGCCGGAATAACCACCTTGAACCCATCCGAGATCGCTTGAAGAATAGTAAGACTTGAATAAACAGACGTTGTAGACCACTTGGAATCAGTTACAAAGGCTTTAATGAACTCTGCTGCATTTCTTGCGGACCACAGCTGAGTTGTTTGGCTTTACAACGTTCAACTGGGCTCCCGTCCATCAATGGTATGCCACCAATGAAATCACCAAGGAGCCTTTGATGACCTCCCTAAACTACTGAATACCTCAGAAAACTAATCTACTTTTCTAATGATTCCATTTTGTTTTAATAGTTTACATCGTAAGATGAAACGGTCGACCAAGAACAGTCCATGTTGGAGTTTTTGGTATTTTAAGATAGTTCTTTGCGTATGTTTGATTTCCGATGCTTCGGTGTCCCTTGGTTGAAATTCTTGGGTCTACACGTCCGTGGTTCAAAATGTTCGAAGGTAATAACTGAATAAAAGTGAACAAATTGGTTGGTGACCCCCCGTTAACTCGGAGAATCCGCGGGCTTCTATATTCGCCTACGAGGGAAACGAGGATATCGTAACTGGTGGAAAATGGTATGGTAAAACCTTCTTTTGGATAACTGGAAGAGCACATCGGCTTGTTGGTAGAGTAAGGAAATTCTCGATGGGGATTTTGTGCTGTAAGTTTAACCGATTCATGCAAAGAAGTCAAGAAATACTGCATAACCGTTTCATCCTTATTGAAAATCATCAGTGGTGTGAATCTCACGAAACTCCGGAGAGTCTCGGACCCGAACGCTCGATAATTCCCGATGAAGGTCAAACAGCTGCACCTCTGCTTTTCAGCAAAGTTTGAGCGGATTTTCCATTGAAGCATTCGTTCAACAACTTATCCGAAGGCCTAAAATGCACATAAAGCAAGGTAACAAATGGAGATACTTCAAGCTATAATTTTTCAGGCTTCTTTGTCATCTAATGAACCATCCCAATGAGTGCCACGACGAAATGACTGCATTTTGTGGTCTGTCAAAATGCCGTTGTTGGCACCAAGAAAAAAACTCACTTCAGTGGGAGGAATAGCTCGTTTTTTTAGTGTGCAGTCTTGTTGTCTAGTGTTCTCACACCCAAAATGGCTGTTCGAACGGGCTTGGCTGGGATTGGTTCTGTGGTTGCTTATGTGAACTGGCCATTATTTGTATACAGTAAACTTGTAGCTATCCGGTCACCCACATACTCAGCTGTTCAACTCACAGTCGCTCACTGGATCGCGAGATTTGTCGTTTTTATACTCACAAACCACGTCACATTAAGGTGACTCATTGGACATAGATTTTCTATACCGTCTAGTGAGCGTAGCAACAACTCATGTGCTGACCTACCCACGTACACGCAAACGGACCTACATATAGGGAAACGGAACACAGTCAGCACACACGGGCTCGCGCTCGCGCTCGCGCGCTGGAAGCAGGAAGTCAACCACTCTCCACAGTCCATGGACAACTATGGAACACGTGTAGCAGTCTTGCTGCTTTGAAAACACGTTCCCGCCGTTCGGTTTTTCACCAAAGAACTCTCACAGACGATAAGTTCCTCTTTTGGCTTGCTCCCATTTTCTATTGTATTTATTTTTATACGTGTGGCATCTCACGATTGTCAGTCATGGTAAAAACTCTTATTAGTGCACATATCTTCTGAATTGTATTATGGCCATCATCAACAGTGCACTAATACGCTGACCATTTGCCTTCGCGGGTGACCACAACAAACGGGCCTTCGTAACTAGATTTGTTCATCTGCTTCACACTGTGAGATGATCGGATCATCATCATTGTCAGCTGTATTGACCGCGTACTTGTCGTACAGTGGTTGTAGCTGCCACAGTTTTTTTCACGGATGATTCTGGGAGGTGGGGTAGGTAGCTGCGCACTGGAGGCGGGAGCTGATAAATTAACGCGTAAATACAGCACTATAGGTGGACAGTTGAGTGAAGGGAGTGGGAAAGGAGGTCGGATGATTGATCGCTAGACTTTGAATCGAATTAAATGGGCGAATGGCCGACCATTTGGTTGCCTTTTAGCATAGTGTCTTCACTACAGTTTCTGTGTCATCTCCTATCCTTACACTAAGGGATAAGTGAGTATGCTGAAGGATTTCCCAATGATGTTGTCTAATGTCACGTGGTATTCTTGACTCCGTTTCTTTGAGGCAATAAATCGCCGCCTGACCCACATTTATTCAACGATTTCTTAACACCATTTTGTCAGTTTTCAGGTTGTCGGAATAAAAGTTGTGTTCCAACGAACTGCTTGGGGTCAAATCCACGGATGAGGACTTTAATTGTAACTACTAGAATGCTGTGTTGGACGGATTCACAAACAAGGTATATGATTGTGAAAACTTTGTTTGGTTGTGGTTTTGAAGGAATCTGGCACGGATTGTCTGTGCAAATGGTGCAAACTTTCTGGCAGTCCATCGTGCGCATTTCGATAAAGGAGCAAACACCAGGTGTCTGATTCATCTGTCGTTCGGAGCAGAGATCATTGAAGGGTCGGTAGAGTTTCGTTCGGTTAAACTACAAGATGGTACTTACCAGTTCACCGTATCCAATAATTTCCGGCGATGCGTGTAATTTTCTCGCTGTGTCCAGAGCAACGGGACCGACAGCGGCCTGAACCGTGGCCTTTGGCAACCAAGACAGGCCGACAAATAGACGTTCTTTCATGTTCATCTTGGATGGTAGGACAGCCATTACTGTGGCAGCGACACGAACCAGAAGAGCGATTAGTAAACAGCTTACTCCAACACCTGTAAACGGGACAGGATTGAAATGATGAGCCCAACTGCTATGGCAAATGAACAGTTTTGTGGTACAAAATGGGGACGGGGGTTCTGAGTATCACCCATTGAAATAAACCAGAAATTCACATGCTTCAGGTTCAAAGTATAAACCGGGTGAAAAGATTTGTCTACATTTCAGGTGCAAGGTTGGTTTGATTGCAGCTCATAACTCGAGTTCACAAACCACAGTACATGAACACTGAGTAGAAAAAAAATGCTTTCGTTTTCAAACTCAGTATCAAAGTAGCAATGCAATTTTTACGCCGCTTAAAGCAAAATGTCAGCGCGAAGTTGGTAGTGCTTAATCGCCCAGCAGCTTATCAGTTTTCTCGATGGAACATACTACTCATGTGCGTGTGAGTATACTCCAACCTAATTAAACGAATTCCTCTAAAGAAAAGAACGAAGTGTGGGAGAGAAAGAACTACGACAAGCGTACGAAAGACCTACGCCTCCGATGACAACAAAAACGTCGGTATCAACGGTTAATTACACGAAGAATAACTTGTAACAGAATTACTAAATAACGGATTGCGCCGACAGCCCCAATGTGTTTCGAAATTAGGAGATACTGACTATCTCCTCTAGTGACACTATTCTCATGGCTTGGGAAAGAATTGCAAATTCCCCAAATTAATGGTTTACTCATGTGGCCATTCTACAATGCCACCTGACTCAAAGGGTCCGTTCACTGCAAAAACCATACAGACTATCACCGAAGTTTTATTGTAAAAGAAACAAAGGTGATATTGGAGAATCCAAGCAAAAGATGAAGCATATTCTCGTTTAGCTTTTCAGGGGTTTGAACATTCAAGCCCCAACTCAAATCCCAAAATGTTCTCAAAGAACTGAACTTTTCACCTTTCGGGAAATTTGCTACAGTTAAAACCATAATTTTAAGGTAAATTTTCTATTCACTTAAGACTGAATAGAATTTGGGGTAATGTGGAATTTGCATATTATTATCCCAGCAGACAGGCCGAACAGAATACCATAAATTGTGGGAAAAGGTCCGTTCTCAAACTATCCACAGGATATCACAAATAATGAGTTATTCGATTCCTTTCCGACAGTGTCTGACACACTCGGCCGGGCGATATGTGATTTTTGCTTCCACCCACTCGAACCTATCTGTAGAGTCGACGTGATTTATCGTAGATGCACGCACGCACGCACGCACACACACGCACACACACACGCACACACACACGCGCGCGCACACACAAACATGCACATGCACGTCCTGACGGATCTGAATACTGACAAGTAATACAATTACTACTGTTTTGTCGTGCAATATCATTTTTCTGTCTCTGTGGACTCGGCTGTCCAGAAATCAAATGTCATAAAGTCGGCTGATTTTTTCCCCTTCGAAGATGTTTGTGTTGTGTAGTCAAGTTCGGGGATCAGACTTTGTGTAGTCTATCCGTGGGTTCTAAACACTTTGTACCACAGATCGATGGGTATTTGTCCACTAGTCAATCGGGACAGTCGATGGCTACTACTTTGAAAGTTTGGTTTACGTTAAATGTGAAACAATGACCGGTGTAATATTTTTCACTTTCGGCACAAACGAAACAATGACTGTTAATTTTTTAGCGCTGTTGTGCTATTTTCTAACTTCATGTTATCCAGTAGTTTGGTTTGCCAGCTGCCAACTGACTGGTTTATCAAAAGCGTCCGGCTTGTCCACATAACCTGTGTTCTACTGCACCTAGCCCAGTTATTTCACCTGATTTTGATTCTTCTGTGATGTGAAAGTGAGCAACAAACAGTTATTATTGTTCCTCGAAAGATTCAGATCTGTGCCCTCTTTGACGATCTTGGCACTTTACTTTTAGTGAGTAATCGGGTCGAGTCAACCTACTCCTCCCAAGGCGTCAATCCTCATCCATTGACAGGCATCGGGCGGTCACACCAAGCCTTTTTTCTGGAAGCAGCAATCCCAGATGTTGTGCCAGACATGAATGGTGAATGTTAGTAAAAACTTTCTGGTCCCCGTTGACTGGGCATCACTGTACCTACAGACAATTTATGAAATAACTTTCCAAAACAAATTGTAGGAATAAAAGTAGTGGTTATTTATGGGACCTGTTTCACTCGAAACGGATCTTAAACAAGATGCAGAAAGTATTTTTTTTCTTAGTCAAGGCGAGACAGTTACACCTGGGCTAATCTATTAGCCTTCTTGATTAGTGTGCTCAAATCCTGACTGGATGAGGACCAATCGTGGTTCCCACTGACACAGACGAATTGAGTGTCAATAGGAACGGTGATCTTTGTCTGATTAGATGGTAGGAATATCGGGTTAAACGTACAACACTACTCATAAGGTTGCTGAAAATTCATCGACAACCTTATGAGCAGTGTATCGCGTCCATACATGTTTCGCGATACCTCGAATATCGTACCATCTGAAACATGAGGTGATCTGGTGCAGTTGTTTGGGAACATTATAAACAAGAGATTCAGCTGGGTTCCAGGTGAGTCTCCGGTAAAACCAAAGTCGTTTGCAACTGGGTGTATTTCTCTAATACGGTAGATTTGATTGCCAGATCAACCAGTCAGAAGGATCCGAAATCTCGATCTTACGCTGGTATAAACACCACATTTAAGCAGGTATTGCATCTTTCACCTTTGTGATAGCAGCTGTTTCCAGCTGACTCCATAAAATATGGATGAACCCACAACGATCATCATTAATTATGAATTATTTTCGCCAAAATAAATGTCATTTATGCCGACATTCTAAGCCTGGTGAACAGTTTGGAAGGAGTTTTCGCTGCGCCATCGAAACCACTTAGTTGCAAGATAACTATCACGTGACCGTACGGAGCAGTGAGTTCTTTATTGTGGAACGTTCAGCCAGCGCGATTGTATCAGCGCAAACTGGGACAAACAAAGTAATAAAAATGTTTTTTATTCGTACTGCTTTGGCGTGGAAAACACAAGAACGAATTCCTCATCATCTAATAAGTGTTCGATACACAATAATCCGAGCAGAATTTTGTTTATCCATTATTGTTCATCATTTTGCCTGAAGGCAAATTCATGAAAATGTGTAGGTTAACAACTGTTTCTCGTTCAGAACATGATAATTTGTGAACAGGTAATTTGGTTCGGTCAGTAGTTGAGTCTTTTTCTCGCGAAAAAGGACCATGGTCAACCGTTTTTGGGATGATCTAGAAAGCAGACAACTGGGAGGCCTGGGGCAAACTAAGGACCAGCACACATCCGGTTACGAACAGAGTAGGAACGTGGAATTCTACACTACATCGAAGTTCCATATCTCGTTTAACCCCAGAAGCAGCGCAAACAATGGTCGTAGCGAATGTCCCATTACCATTTACGACTGGAACTGTTGGTGGCATGACTTCGAATGAGACGTTTCGCTCTCATATCTCATATTCTCCCGCTACACTTTTGCATTCGTCGCTTGCATTCGCTTTTTATGTTTGTGACCATGCTCTTCAAAAACAAATGACGATAATAGTACGCAAGTAAGTAAGTAAGTAAGTAAGTAAGTAAGTAAGTAAGTAAGTAAGTAAGTAAGTAAGTAAGTAAGTAAGTAAGCAAGGAAGGAAGGTAAGTAAAGTAAGTAAGTAAGTAAGTAAGTAAAGTAAGTAAGTAAGTAAGTAAGTAAAGTAAGTAAGTAAGTAAGTAAGTAAAGTAAGTAAGTAAGTAAGTAAGTAAGTAAGTAATTCAGTCGTCAAAAGTGGAAAAATACAAGCAATAGGCAACCAGATTCTTTAGCGTTCAGAAGATGTCAACGACGCCTTGAGCCTTTCAAACAACAAACGTTGCATTGACCCAATTAAAAATATTAGTGGACTGAGCATTGCTATAATTTTTTATCACACTTTAGCCCCGTACGTGAAGTGAATTTTCAGTAGCAAGATGAGAAGCACTGAGCAGCTATTTTTCGTCAACCGAAAACATTTTCAAGGCTTCTTCTTTTATAAACAAATTGTGAGCAGCTCAGAGGTAAACACAATTTCCAAGTTGCGTGAATCGGCCATGAAACCCGCCAAGTCGCAAGCACTTGACTGAAAAAACAGTGGCTTCGAGTCCTGCCCAAATGCAATTAAATTCCATCTACGAGCGGCCATTAGTGGCCAACCGGCATAAGCTTCTAGTAAAAAGTCGTGTGTTCGAAACTGTTTAGTGGAACTCCACACGGATCCCTCTTGACCACTCGCACTCAGGTGCTCCTACGGCCGAGAAGTCCATCCAATGCAAGATTGGCCAAAAATTCGGGAAGCTTGCCGGTCCGGCATCAAGCCGAGATCTGATTGGTCGAAAGTCTGGACCCAACAGCCAACCATGACCCCGTATTGGCCGAATGCCGGTTGCCAATGGCGCATCCAGAATGCATCAGAATTTCCAGAAAGTTACTGCCGCCTAAGCTAGACGTGAACGCTAGCTTGGGAGGCTCAGATCGAGAACCAAGCTGAGGAAAATACCGTTACTACAGAAACCCCCTTAGGTATCGTAAGATGCGCCTAGTAGATAATTACGAACATAAATGAAAAAGCAACACGCACAGAATGAAAGCTCGACCAGAAAAAAAGTCCTCTTCAGAACGAACACGATTTGATCTTATCAAGAGAAGGTAAGATTTTTTACGGTGGTGATTTACACTGTCGGCTCTGGCCTCAAAAATGTACGTTAGGTACAAACGAGCTGGCCAGGAATAAATGAATTGTTGGGCTGAGTTCGTGCTCCAGTTGTATACCAGGTCGCAGATATTGATACAGCAAACAAAATATCTCAAAATCGGATCACATAAACGGTTTTGAAAAAATGCTAGAGTTCAAAATATGTGGAACGACTTGCTTACAATTCATTGGGTGATTGTAACAAAGAAAGCTATTTCCGACAGTCGGATTATCTATGAAAATGAGGTAGAGGTGTGGCCGTCAAAAACGATTTACTGGCAGCTCGAAACCTGTAAGGAGTCATCCCGAGGAATACCACCCAAAGGTGGAGCTTCTCCCCCGGAGAGGTCCTAGCAACGCTTCTCATCACAGATTAACCAGCGTGAGGTGGGCATAAACTCTTCGGAGGGTTCAACGTATGAAAAGAACTAGGTGCGGGTAATCTAGACTGATCTCCGCCAACCAAAGATTAAAATTGATCAGGCAGAGGCTAAGTAAAACTCGTCTTATCCGATGAACAGTCAATCACATGATATGCTCTCTGCAACCACTCCGAAAAATTCGCTCGCTGTGGTTCTGATTTAGCTAATTATTTTTAAAGTCTTCTCCGCGGCCAACACTAGTTCCCGGTAAGGGTAAACTGGCTGGGTCAGTACCAAGTAGCATCATTCGTTCACTCATGTCAACGGTCTCAAAAAGAAATGTGACGACGAGGGTGTTAGCCGTAGAATTTCGGGACCATGCGAAGCGCGTACAAATTCATCCGCCATATAACTAACACCGCATTATCTGCTTAAAAGGGTGCAAAGAAGCGTTCGTTCGAGTGCATGGACGAAAAATGTTACCACATGCTACCAAAATGATCTTCTCAACTACACAAACTTGGGTGCGACTGATACAAAAACCACAGGACGCAACCGAATTCACTCCAACTTTTCAAACCCCCATATGTTAGTAAAGTCCTGTGGAACCGACGCCTTACCTGTCGAACCACCAGCCAACCTGAACAGATTGACTTCCGCTCCAATCAGGGTGAAAAGTACTGGCTGAACAAACCACCAGACGGCCGCTAATGTTTGTCGCATTGAATTTAGGCACGTCAAACCACGTTCCTGTGGAGTAGCTGGCAAAGCCACCAAGCTGTCCGCGCCATTGGTAATGGCTGTACTGGATCCAAACGCGTTCACATTCTTTTCCGATTCTTTTTCGGCATACAACTCAGTTTCTTTAGGTTTCTGTGCTTGCGTCATATACTCGTCTTCAAGCTCCTCTTTCTCGTCCAATTTTTCCACCGGTTGGCTGTGCATTGCTGCATACTGCTCTCGGAAATTGGGGGAAACTGGAATAGAATGGACCATGTTTAGGACAGCTGCAGGTTGGAAAACATGAGGAAAGGATTCGAGCTCAGTCTCATTATATACATAGGCGAAAGGACTACACAGTTCCTTGAAAAGTAAAACCACGTCGGACTCGGGATTATTGACTATAAGGTGAATTGCGTGATCATACACCGGTTTGGTATTTGGTTCGTGCGGTGAGGAGACCAAGTCGTTTAACCGACGGCATTTTTGTTCGAAGACCGTTCAACTGAACGTGGCTCAAGTATTAGCGAATCAGTGTGTTGACACAATGTTGGCGGATGTGAGGTTTTCTGAGCTCGGTATGCATCGTCGTCCTCAAAATATTAGTAAAAGGGGTCCGGTTGCCAGCTCCAAAAGACATTACAAGAACTGTCACATATACAACTGATGAAAGCAAAAGTATATAGTACTGTATGCGTGATTGTCTTCTGAAAACGATAATACGAGTAGACGCATTTTCTACATACCCGTTCAGCTGTAACACCCTTCCGGTGCCTAGCTACCATGCCACCCGGAGAAAGCACGAGGGCTGGGATACTGCCAGGTCGCCCAGGCCTAGATAGGGGAACTCGAGTGGCAGAGGTCGGGTTCGAATCACTGACCTTCCGGTCAGTAAATTCGCGCTCTAACCACTGGGAACATCTACATACTCACCACACGACTGACTTTGGGAATAATTTACAGTCCGTGGCGTCTTCTCAAAGGCGGAAACATCTTAAGGAAATACTTCTTCAGGATAAGTTTTTAAAAATCCCAAGTAGAGAAAATGCCTGCTCTTGTTCCAAGTGACGTTCTGCCGAATGCTGCCGCTCACAATGGAATGTCTCTTCCATCCAGGATCCATCGAACCTAAACTGTCTTGTCAGTGTGAGCTACCTCGGGTTCCTCAGATTGATGGTAAACACCTACAATAAACGCGGATGTTGCCGCTGTGAGTTCTGAAGATGTTCTAACGAGTGCAGCAAATCTCGCTTTAAAATGGGCACTTTGTTCATTCTTTCGGGCTTACGGTGGTGCATCTTTCATAATGGCTCCTAGAACGATAAACAGTCAAGATTACAACTAAAGGCCAATCTATTTTGACTGTGTTACTAACAACAAGTCTATGATGTATGACTGTGAACCCAACGAGCCTGTACTTAGTTAAGACATCCGGAGTTTTTTTCTGAAAAACTGAGGTGTCAGACAATCATCCACGATCAGATTCGAATCCGAAAAAAATTGTTCTGACCACCTCTGACATCGACGTTTGACCAAGGACTCTGATGTTCTTGAATAGGCTAACCTGTCCGCACACTGCTACGTGCTTTCGTTTTATTCTCCCGGAAGTCTGTCTGGATTCAGCTAACATCTATCAGAACATAGGCATACACGGTTTGCGCTTCCGGAGAACGTAGTCCCCGAACACTGGACGCTTAGCGTTGCCTATTCAGTAAAAAACGGCGAGAAACAGCGCCAGCAACTACCAGGGATGATAGTGAATGATTTTAGTATTCATCAAAAATTTCGCACCGTGAATCACCTCAAAAAAACATTTTTCTGTTCTCGATTGTCACAAAAAAGGAAGTGCTAGGTGGTAGGGTTGTTGTCTAAACAAGTATGAAATTTATGGGACTAAATCTACTGAAAAATTTGAAATATTACGGTGCACTCAGTGTAAAGCGACTTGCGGTATACGGTTAACTGTGCACTGATACATGTGTGAAAATATGGTTATACGGTGGTCCCCGGAACAAAGACGCCACTTCGAAGAACAAAGATGAGGTGTTCAGACCAAAAATTTACTAGGGACGGTCTGCTTTCAAATGAAGACCCCTCCAAGAAGTGAACTGTCCGGTTATCCAGGATCGTATGGGGATCCTACGTGTACAAGGGTCAATTTTCCCATAAATATGATCTATTAAAAGGACACTTTAGGACATTGTTTACGTGTACATAGGTGGGGCGCAGAACCTGGCTACGTATCTGCCGAGCAGACTTGACCCACCTACTGTGATTGAGAAGCATGTCAGTAAAATTGATTTTCGATTGGGGGTTACTGATCCGTTTTCCAGGCTTGACGTTTGTGAACGTTTCGTCATAGAAGCTGAGAGCAACCCATTCTCTTTCTGAAGATTTCTGTCCAAGATACCTGAACGAATGTAAAGGGTACGTGAACCTCGATAGTTTGTAGAAGGACAGCAGTGTGCACCTCCTCCACACCTAGTTATTCTCCGATATCTCCTTCTAGTCAAACAGGTCGACGTGCCTGTGAAGCAGTTCGACTGTTGCCTTGAAGACAGTGATGTTGAAGACTTAATAGGGACATTGTTCATGTAAAACCAACTCAAGAGGAACTCCTAAACTCAATAGGACTACGGATGACGATTGTGCCTGTATGCATACACAGCAAACCGAACGGGTGTTTCTGTTGGGGATATCAATATCCCCCAGATTTCGTCGCTTGAAGACCTGTTCAGGGTCGATTTTTCACTTCAAGATGATAGTTGGAAGGTTCGCCTCCTGCTCCGCAAACTTGGACCCGGCGAGCGTGCAGTTTGCCAACATATCCCATACAATTCAAGGAGAACCATTGGAGATTGTGGAAAATTTTACATACCTCGGTAGTTGTATTAGCTCTAACGGAAATGTGTCTGATGGAGTCAGTGCCAGAATCTCAAAGGATCGAATCACGTTTCATAATTTGCGTCACTTTGGCGTCAAACAGACATATCACTAGATCTTAAGGGTCGCGTGTAAGGGCTGTGTTGTTTTAAGGGTGCGAGACGTAGCTCCTGTGGACTGGTGGTGAGGTGTTTTCAGGTTTTTGACCAGCGATGCCTCAGGAGAAAATCGGAATCGTTTAGCCGTAGCGCCCTTTCGGTGCCTAGCTGCCATACCACACGATGGAAGCGCGAGGGCTGGGATACTGCCCAAGCCTAGACAGGGAAAGCCGAGAGGCAGAGGTCGGGTTCGAACCACGGACTTTCCGTCAGTAAATTCGCACTCTAACCACTGTCCATCTCGCCCCCCCCCCGATGTCTCAGAAGCATGAATGGTTTTGAATGGCGTTAGCGCGTTAGTAACGAGGTGATTACAAAACGGGTATTAGGTTGTGCGGGGTAAACATAAAGCACTACCAACTACGACGGCTCGGTCATGTGGCACGCATGCCGAAAAACCGTTTACCGAGACGAGTGTTGTTCATCGTGTCTCCTTCAAAATGAAGCAGACCACGAGGTGGACAGCGCAGGACTTGTCAGAAAGACGTGAAAGAGAGCACGAAGAGTTTGGGTGTTGTACTCCTTCAATGATGGGGTCCCCGTGACCCCATTTGTGTTTGTCTGGAGACGCTGCAAGGAATGGTGGTTAATCGATGTCAGTGGCCTTTGTGTTGTCAGATTCTTTAGATTGTCTGATTGAGCGTTCGGAGGTGCACGCACCTCAGAATGCGTGACATAGGCCAGCACTAGGTCCCCTCCCTCATCAACTCTTTTTCTCTTCTTTTGAATCTAGGGTTTTAAATATAATTAGACGAACCTTGTGGTCGTACGGCAGTGAAGCAGCAGCGTCAACATTGATATTGCTGTTTTTGATAATGATGATGATGATGGGCTCGAGATAGCTCAGTGGTAAAGGCGCCAGCTTACGGACCGGAAGGTCCGTGGTTCGAATCCAACATCAGTATCTTAACTGCTCCTGTTTCCATAATCCCTAGTGCCTGTACCTGGATTGTAAGTGGTGTGTTTACTGATTGCACGTCCAGTAGCATGACCTTACACACATGCAAAGTGCATATTTAAGGGGCGGAGGACTTTGATTAGTTTATCCAAAGGCGTCTGCGCCTTCTGCTCTTCGAAGACTAGAAGCATGTCGTCTGCATATTATAGATGGACGAGATAGCTCAGCGGTTAGAGCGCGAACTTACTGACCGGAAGGTCCGAGGTCCGAATCCGAACTCTGGCTATCTTGGTTTGAGCAACCTGGCAGTATCCCAGATCTCATGCCTTCTTCCGTTGACATGGGTGCATGATATGAATGCCCAATGTGGACGACTAAGCCCGAGAGAAGCACAACTAAGGGGTATATTTGAAGTCAATGCTCAGCGCATGGATAGCGTTGAGCGAGTGGTTTAGTTGTGTGCACATCATTGTCTGTTCCCAGCCAGTACGAACTTCCAGAGCAAACACTCAGATCGAGTTGCTTGAGGGCCTCAACCGCAAGACGGTTAAGGGCACAATTGGACCATGTGGGTATCAGTTACCTGGGTACGCAACTTGACTCTGATTATGCTACCGTGCGTACCCGGTTACCAATTCGCTTCCCGTCAGCATTTGTTGGGGATATCAATATCCCCCAGAAAACGCTGTTTTTATGTGTGCTAGCGAACTCCTGGCATCTTCAAGGTCAAACTATGAAAAATCAATGGCCTATTGATACTCCAAGGAAATTTAGATCCGACCACGTACAGGATACCATTATTCTTTCCACTGACTTGGGTTCGGAAGCTCCGGGCATCGCCTGTTGATCGTGTGTTGTTGGATTATTAAAGTTTGTGTCCGAGGTTCTCGTCTTCTTACTATTCGCCGTGCTAGGAGTCTGTATCAAGCAACATAGCTGGGGATAGAGTATTGCCACAATCCGCATTATCATATTGTTTGCTCGCTGCGTGACCGAACCGTAACAGTTTCCGAATTCAGTCTCATCGTCGAAACTCTCCACCACCTTTCACTCTCACCACTATCATTATCCTCATCGTAAGTGTCGTCTTCAACTACACAGTGCACAGTAAAATCTCTGAAGGCTAAATGCGCGATAAATTCGAAAGCACATGGCACCCTGAAAGTAGTCTACTAAATTTATGAGTTGGTATAGTTTGAATAGTTGACAAAACTTACGTGAACCTTCATGAAAGAAACACAAAGAATTATATATAAGAAACGTTGTCTGTCACCTAAAAAACTAATTATTTTGACCGCAGGCCAAGAAAACACTGACTATTCCTGCCAGATAAAAAACAGGTACAAGGCAACTGCAGCAATGTATAACTGAATGCATGTTATCCCATCGGAACAAGTTCAGTGCGTGGTATGACAAAAATCAGCAAAAAACTCAAGTGTTTGCGTCAAACATTCCACAGAAATCTCTGTCATCAGCGTGTAAATGATGGCAGCAACCAAAAGCTTCCGTAAAACTCAAAAAGTTGAGAACAGAAGACAAATGTCTAATATAAAATAAATTGACGTTTGTGAACAAGTCAGTTTCCGGTAAAATCCCAAGCGAATTTCAATTCGATTCGGCACCTTATTCATTGTGTTTTATTGATGGAATAGCACATTTCACGGAAGTTTCTTACCCATAGCAACAATTCCGTCAGATCTAACAGCACCGACGCAACCCGTCCAAGTATCCACTGAGGCCCGTTATGAGTTTTCACTTGCCTTGATTACCTCTCAAGTCACGTGGCGTTCCCGGCAAATTTCTACTGTTATTCCCCTTAATGGAACTACTCATAAGTTTACTGAAAACTCTTCGACAGCCCACGACCGGCCTCGTCCTGCTTGGGTCTCATTAGGCAGGCGCAGTCCCCGAGTTTCCGTCAACCTTATGTCATACTTGAACCCAAATTGCACTGTTTTCGAGAAATACACTCACATTCACCAATCAATTTGGTTTTCACGACAGACTCAACTGAATCCCTCGTTTATGATATCCTACAACTCAACATTATGTTCTACTTTAAGAGTTTTCAGCAGCCTTGTGTTTAGTTTCCTTTATGAAAATATACTGCGATATTTCGAATATCGTGCCAACTGAAGCATGAGGCGGCTTGTGTGCAGCACATTCAGTTGTAGAATGTCATAAACGAGAGATTCAGGTGAGTCTCGTGAAAACCAAATTGATTTGCAAATGAATGTATTTCTCTAATCCAATAAATTTAACTTCTGCTGTTTGGGTAAATCACCGGCTATCCATATGCCAAAATAACCAAGGTCGTTCTTTCTCGACAGCCTTGCTAGGGCTATTGTTCTGGTCCAGATCTTCAGCTCAGAACTCAGAGCGGGACGGCCAAGTTTGATTTTGAATTGCCTGGCCTGCAAATGCTCCTCTACCTAGATTACTGAAATCAGTGGTTGCTCGGTTTCTGCGCCGAGTTTAAACAGCTGCCAGCGCAGACATTCAAAAGCTGGTTCACTTACAGGAAGGAGGTAGTCGAAGCGAATTAGTTATGTGCCGGCCGCTCTGTCATCACTAGTGACCACCCGTTTGTTGTACCTGGAGTGTTTTCACTACTGTGATATGCGCTCCACTACGCATCTCTTTGTGTTCATCATAGTCTTCCAGCTGTATCTCAAAATACATCTGCAAGCTTTCGGAAATACTATGGCGTTGTCAACATGGAGAACCTCCAAACAACCAATATACGAAGTGCACCTCTACCAATATTTTCAAACTTCCACAATTACAAGCAGGAGGAATATGCCCCCATACAAGCTCAACTGGAGGCGCGTTCTTCCTAAGAAAAGCGTAAAACAGTGTCTGCTATCAGATAACGCTTGAATGCCTGTCGAACGATCCTTCCCCAAATCTTTCTTCGAAGGTTGAGAGGTTGAACATTGCAACCTCTAGTTACTACGAGCAAGCGAATCCCAAGTTGCACGTAGCACAAAAACTTGTGATGCAATAAACGACAAGGTTCTCCCGCGATTCGTTCTCAATTTGTACAAATACTTTCCATAAAAGCAACATGCGTCCAACTCCAGTTCGTCCAAAATTATGTGGGGACCGTTCTCAGAATATATATCATCATTCTTTGAAGAACTGTAGTGCGGGCATCGAAACCTTTTGACTGACTTGTCTGAGAACTCACTACTATCTTGAATTTGCAACTTTGTTCTCATCAACCTGTCTTTTGTGTCGGCAATTTACTGACTGAAAGCTCTAAATGGAACACTCCGCACAATTTCACACACTTCTTAGAACTAACTAACCCACTGATTCAAAAATGGGCGGTACACTTAGCCCCGCCAAATTTTTCCTAGACATCATATGCCGCTTGTTTTACCCAAAAGGGAATCGTTTGGATGAGTTGGGGTAGATGAGTCAAGAGCACAAAGAAGTGTGTCAACAAATTTGAGAACGCATGTATCGCTATGCTGCTCGTAAAAAGTGCTTGCGTTGGCTAGAGCATTTGTGAATTCTGGGAGAAAATTTGGTGCGAAGCCCATTCACTTGTCTTTTGTATGTCGTTGCGACACTACTGAAAAGAGTGAGGTGCTGACAAGGTCACCTGAACAGTCATCAATCTATCCATGTTGTTTGGACTATCGATCGACTGAATAACGAGTAGATACACGCAACCAGATACAAATCACGGTTGTTTAGCGCGCCAATCCAAAATTTGCGTTACAGGGCCTTGTGGAAATTGATAGATCGTAAAAACACCATCAGAAGGTGAGGTTATGTAGACGAAAAGGACTTCAGAACTACAGAAGTTTATGCTGAATGTGATCAACCCATAACACACTAGCAGCGACTAGAGAGAGAGAAAGTGGATGGCCATGATCTGTGTGTAAGTTCATCGGTTCCCAGAGAACCTCTTTTAATTCCTGTCACACAGTATTTTCAAATTCTGTGTTTATCTAAACTGACCAAGCTGCTCCACACGAGGAGACAACGATTCAGATTTATTACCTTCGTCAGTTCCGGCAAATTTCACAAGTCTTGACACAAACCAATGGTAGTTATGAATTGTTTGGGCTAAACAAGTGTGACTGATATTTTCACTCATTTGAAAAATGCTTAGGACCTTTCGGGAAGCCACCGGTTTCCACGAGTTTACAAATAAGTCTAAAGAGTATCTTTCAAACCTTTCCGAAATTTTGAACAATGTCAGTTCTAGATGTTTACTTGTCAATCAATAACCAGCCTTCTTGGTGGACCAGTGAAGTTCCACACAAATTCTTCTATTTCAAATTCCTACCTAGTAGCTATGTAATTGTTTGGAACCACAAAATTCTAGATCAGTCTGATGCAGGGCATCAAACTGTGGTAAGATATTGCTACAAAAAGTGTTCCGTTCGTGGTCAGTGGCGTAACGCCACTGGGATTTTTTGGAAATTCTCACCACATTTGGGGGCCAAGGCAGAATAGTGCGGACAAAACGAACTGAGAAAAACAACTAATTCTTTCACTTGTTCAAACTTTGTGATGTGCACGTTCACCGGGGAAATTTACTATCGAAATTGATACACATTTTAGTGGTGGCTCTCGATATTTACAGTAGCTTCCTGAAGTTGTTCTGAGACCAAAATGAGAAAACTGAATAGTGATATATCAATAAACAGACTGGTTGCCATGTTTTGTATAATATGTGAGACGTTTGGAGTCAAGACAAGGTCTTGTGTAATAGTATGTCATAATCCAACATTTTGGTTGACGTTTGATTTTAGAACATCTTCAAACAGATTGTCCTCACAACCGAAACGTCGGATTATGACATCTTATTCTGCTATACTGTGTTTTGATTTTGAACTCTCCATACTGTATGTTAATAGTTCACCGAAAACACCGAACCTGTCTCTCATCTGCTGGGACAATACAATGGCACCTCAGATAAGGTTTGCTGGTTGACTTCTAGGATGTGTTCTGGCGGAACTCATCAGAATACAGAAGATTCATCATCATCATCATCATCGACAGCATGACATCAGTGTTCAACACGTGTTCACAGACACTTATTCAGACACTCTGCAGGAAAACTGACATCGATCAGCAACCATAGCTTGCACAGCATGACAGTTCAACACGTGTTCACAGACACTTATTCAGACACTCTGCAGGAAAACTGACATCGATCAGCAACCATAGCTTGCAGCACCCCCAACCATACCAAGTGGGAATCACGTGGTTCCCATTCTGTAAGGCAAGCCACACCGAAAGCATCTCAGATATTTCGCAGTCTCTTTCATACCTCTCTGCCACTGCAAGTAAGCCATCTCCGCTACCGTTACCATAGTGCTCGTTCAAACGATGGACTTGTAGGGAAGTTAAGATGGCTCTAGAAAAGAGCCTCCAATGTATGCGGCGTGGATTACTGTCTTCAACGGGAAAACCGATAAATCAGCCTTACTAAAGGAGTATTCCATCAAGGTCAACCACACTTTTGAACTCTGGTTATGACGAGGGTCCACTAGGACACGACCTCCAGACCATATTTCCCATCAACAGTGGGCAAAGCATGGGGTTTACAAGCGAGACGCAACTACCTTAATGGTTGTGCATCCGGTTTTGAAAATATCCACAGTAGGTGTGTCCCATAAGCTATGCAGATTACCAGAAACCTGAAGACAACAAAGTTGCAACTCATTTTAGCATGTCGGTTTATTTACCTTGATCTAGCAAAGGTAGTAAAATATGAACGATTTATGAAGTCAGAAAACTGTCGAATTTGTCTTGAATTTGTCGAAGCCGCAAAAGGGGAACGCATTTTAGACATTGCGGACCGCTTTGGCTCAGTTTGGCTGTGAACTAGCCAGAGAAAGACTTGAGGTGGATAAACCCCAGTTTAAACAGCCTCAGGGAAATGCTTAAGGATGGATAATTGATAAAACTTAGAGCCCAGCCGAAGAACCCTCTTACGGATGGGGCTCTTGAGATCCTGAAACACTTGACGTTTTGCGGCTGAAGGGGTCTCTGGTACGGTGAGGCTGCAATAGTCTAACGATACAGAGCACGATCTTCAGCGCACAAGCTGGTGAGTGGCTGGTCATGTAATCTTCAGATCGTTACAAGGTGAAGGTTCCTCATTACTACGGTTGTCATTTTTGTAGAAACGAGAGGATTTGTTTTGCACTTTATTAAATTCATTATAAACTTTATTGTAGTTTCTAATCTTTGAAAAGGAAACACAGGGAGAACAAATAGATCCACTCACGTATGCGTCTTCTGTATTTTGATAGTTTTTGGTTACTTGATCTGGAGGATGTCGAACCCATATCTCGACGGAAAGCAGGCGATACCGTGAACGACTCTAGTTCGTAGTGAGCAGTGGGTTCCGGTAGACTGAATCGCCTGGAAGCACGCGGTTTGGTCCCCCGAACGGGGAAGGGGATCACAGTTGTCCCTGATGGTCTGCGCTCCGTACCGGTCGCGGCCACGGCCACAGCTAATGCTGGAAGATCGATCAC